GAAAGAAAATCGCGAAATTGAATATAAAATCGGCGCGACTGAAGACAACCGTTCGAACGCGTCTGAGAATTTTCATGTCGCCAAGCAAGATTCAATTGGCCGTTCGAATGAAGAAATCGTTAATAAAACAGAAGCTGGTTACGCGGTTTACGAAAACGTGAATGAAGGTGAAGCAACGACCACGCAGAAGCCACAATTATCGACCTCTTCTGCATTCTTCGATTTAAAAACGTTCTTGGAAGGTGATCCTCCAAAATACGCAGAATTATCGAACGAAAACACCGAGAAATCATTCTCGAACAATGGCAACGATACCTCTGCCAACGGCAACGTAACTTTCGTTTCTGCAAATTCCAGCGAGAGTCAGGAAGAGAAAGACAGCGAAACTGGGAAGGGAAACGACGAAGATATATTTCGTCAGTCATATTTCTCTGATGAGGATTCTTCTTCAAAGGCGAAGGAAACGGCTCGATCGAGCACGGGATCTTCCGAAGAAAGCAGCGTCGCGTCGAAAGAGAGCGAATCGGACGAGCATCGGCCATTCTTCTCGTACTCTTCCAGACCGTCCTCACCAGCGGAGAACTACGAGGACGAAAGATACTCAGAGCTTGGGCCGCGCGTGAACAAGCCAGCCTTCTATCATCCTCCGTTCTTCAATTATAAAACATCACGAGGAAGTTCCGAAGAAGTGCAGGGGAGCAACGAGGAGAAAGAGGAGCACGTGTTCCCGTGGTACAGAGACGAAGAGGACGAACGAAAACGTGGGCGCAGACGATATCGTGGCCGAGCGAATGGTAGATACGAGTATCCGTGGGAGAGGAGAGAACGTTTGGAGAGGGAAGAGAGAAGGAGAAAGGAAGAGAAGCGCAGAGGCTTGGCGAAGAGCTTCGACGACGAGGAAGAGGAAGGGGAGGAAGCTTCGGCCGCGAAATATCGAAGGAACATTTATCCTCGCGGGAGACGTCGATTTTGGGATCGATTAGACAGCGACACTTTGGAAGAGAGCATCTCGGACAACGTAGAAAGCAGCAGCGAATATCGGCCGAGAACGAGGTACAGTAGCAGATATAACTCTAGAAATGTGAAACTACCCGTGGACGAGAAATCGAGAAGCGTCGGGGAGATCGGTAGATCGATGAAGAAAACTCTGGAAGACAGTTCAGAGGGGAAGGGGACATTGAAAGGGAAAGAGACTTCTTCGGAGAAGAAGAAACCTGCGGCTTCTTATAAATCTAGAGGCATTTCCAGAGGGACGATCGTTTCTGAAGATGAGAGGAACAGAGAAAAATCGGTGGATAACAGTTCCGTGAGTATCTCGCCTAGAAATAAAACCTCGAACGATTCGGCGAAGAGTATTTTAGACAATACCGAGTCTCGAACAACGGTGGTCGAAGGTCCTCGAGAAATTGAGAATGCCACGAAGCAGGAAAAAACGAGCAAGAAAAAGCGAAGGCCACTGAAGAACGCCGTCTCTACTAAATCTGTCATCTGGGCTAATCGAGCTCGTCAAAGACAGAAGCCTTCATCGACCACGCCCGCCGCGATTCAATCAACGTTCTCGGTTGCAACGACAACGTCAGCGCCTAGATTCGTTCGTAGGAGAAATCAGAAGGCTAAAGACTCGAGAAGAAAGAATCACGTCCTGAATAATTCTGGCAATGGGACGAACGGTACGAGCGAAACTGGAGCAGTGGGGCAGACTTCAAGAGGCAGGAAGGGGAGTCGAACGAACGAAATATTGGCGGACGTGCCAACGAAAAGTCACAGAGATCAAGAGCTCTCTGTGAAAAGTCCGATGAAACAAGAGAATAGCACGGTTAACAGCGACCGAGGGAAGGGTCCAGAGAACGAAACTGTGGAGGAAAGATTCAGCGACGATGACGTGAGCAAGGAAGCGGATGAAGTGAAGAGAACGTTCCTTCCTGCCAGCAGCGATGAAAGGTTCGACTTCAAGAACGACAGGATAGAAACTTTAAGCGATTTTGATAAAACCGACGATGATTATGAGATTGCAAGCGCGCTAAAGGCAAATGGGGATTTTACGCCTCAGAACAGAGCGCTCCAGTTGAGGGAACAGAGTTCCCGAGAGATCATCTCCTCTGTTTCCTGGATATCGGAGAATTACGATTTTTAACACACAATGATCTTTTATTTTTATTTTGTATTGGTAGTTTATGGTATTTTTGGTGGACTCTACAGAATAGAAGGAAAAATTGAAAGTTGAACTGATTGGGAAATATTTATGAGTAGAAATTGATTGGAAAGGATGTTAATAACACGTTGTTTAAAAAATGTTCAGGTCCATTAGAGATTTTCATTGAAACTTTCTTTTATTAATCTGACGTTTCGAGAGAGTTTTGTGCAATACGGTGCTTTAGAAAGGCGATACAGGTTCCAGTTATTATTTTAAAGATAATGCTTATGAAACGATCTGTTTTGGAGGACAATTTGCTAAAAGAATTCATCACATTTACTTATGAAATGATTTGGAGTAAGTAAAAAATTATAAGTCTAAGAAGGAACATGTTGTAAAAATGACATAAAGAAAAAAATACGTAGAGAAGGAAACGAGAATGGATCGATTGATAAATAAATTTTGGCAAACTGTTCTCTGTAGCAATTCGAAACAATTTTAACCATCTCTGAAACAAATCTCTTCGAACTATAGTATTCAGGTATTGATTTCGTAAAACTTTCGCTAGGCTAATATATTTACATGTTTACAATTGTCTATTACTTGTGTTGTTGTACATAAATCAGACTATTTGAATAAAAATAAACGTTGCATGAAAAACAGGGAAAATTGAAGATTCCTGAAAAATGTCATCGTCAAAAATTCTCAACACATTTTTAAAGGATCCTAAAAAAATTTCTAAAAGATTTTCGTGGAAAGATTGATTACAATTGATTACAATCTAGAAGATCATTGAATTGTTACTCTCATTACGTGACGTCAATCCTTGTTCCGAAGTGGATATCCTTGATCTAATTCGCCGCAGTAGAATGTCACAATTTCTCCATGAAATTTAGTAAGTAACATGTCAGTCATTCTTTCGTTTATCACGCTGAAGACATCGTAAATGATTCATCGATAATTCTACGACGAAGCACGGCACGCTTGCACTTTACAACATATTACGCGGTTTCGAATAATGATTCGTGCCATTATATTAATTGCTCGATCCTTAGGAAATAATCGTTTAATTAAGTTGAATGCAATTATGGTCTTCATGGTCTGAATATCGTTATGCTTAGAAAATTATATAGGCGAGGTAATTAAGTAATTTATTTAGTACGTTACTTGGACGTATAATCATTTATCGTAAGTATGAAAATTAATCAAAATATACCTGTTCTTCGATATTTAATTAACGAGATCTTTCGGTGCTGTCGAAATTACGAATTTTGGTATTTATTCGGTTAATAGTATCCAATTGGCAAATTATTTTTTCAATTATTAGAGACACATTAAACAACAATTAAATGAATAAAAATTTATCAAAATGCTCTTTAATACTTTGTCAATAAAGCATTTGTCAATTCTTTTACACATTAATTCTAATGTTTTATTCATTCCAATTTGCTCAGTAAGCAACATGTATCGATACTTTTTATCGAAGTGTATCGTAAGATTTTCTCTGACAAAAATATGAGTCATAAAGTATTTTGCCTATTTCGTTGGCATCGTGGATGTAAAGTGGTGGCTGAACGTTTACCAAGGTTAAGGTGGACGATATCCTTTAGATACTGCATTCTAATATAGTCCTGTATCAATGAATAACACTCGATACTGAAAGGGAATACAAGCGTTTCATTGGCCAATTGCGAGGCCAAGCCCCGTATATAATTCGATCTTTAGTTTAAAGCTTTAGTTTCTTTCTTGTCCCGTGGCGCGACTATCAAAAGGTCAATATGCTTCCTACGAAGGTACGTCGACGTTCCAGTGCTCGTTCCCCGTGAAAATAAACAAGGAAATGCTTCGCAATTTTCTGAAATTGATATTTTAAATGAGTGGTGTTACTTGATAGTACGGTATATTTATTTCTAGAAGAGAGTTTTCATACACAAAGATATAAATAACAATCTTTGTGCAGTGAAATGCGACAAAGTGTTATTACATGACTATTCTTGAAAAGAATTGAGAAATGCAAGGAACTCGCAAGATTCAGAATTATCTGAATGGAATGTTTATTCGTTTAAATTCTTGTTTCTCCTACAATGTTAAAGTACTAGAAATTTAAAAAAATTGAAAATAATACGTAGGTGCAAAATACTTGACATGCATACCAATTTATTATGAGACGTTGTGTCATTAGATAAAAAATTCAAGATCAAGAATATATATGCTTTGACAGTGTCTAATCGGTGTTCTTCACGTGATTATCCGAATTTTTTTCAATAAACGTTCTTAACTAATACCAAAAAGAGAAAATAGTCGCAGTAAACGTAATACGAATCGCGTGACTAACGTGAGAGGTGAATTACGTCTCCCAAGGTCCATATGTTTCGCAGTTCTGTTAATGTCAGAAGCATGTTCAATGAACTTCTCCAATCGAATCGTCTGAAATTGATTTTGAATGAAATAACCACATAAATCCAATTTTCCGACTAAAATTTCTAAATTTTAGATTAATTATTAAATTTTAATTGAAATATAAATACAACTTTTACGTGAATTTTCTCGCATATCGTTTCAATTTTAAAGTCAATTTTAAAAGCTCAAGGGTAAATATTTTTAAATTTGGATACTGCGTAGCGTTCCGTAATAACGAAAATCGTGGAAACGAAATCCTTGCCTTGGATTGGCTAACAGTAACCTTACGCCGAACCTATATTTCAATCTTCGAGTTTGTACTCGAGTTTCGTTCTTGCTTTACGATTCGACGAACGAAAACCACGGCTACGTGTGCTGAAATAAAATTAAACGGTGCATTCGAATGAAATTGTACATATTTTAACTGTACACGTACATTCTCTCTTTTCTTTCCTTTAAACGAGAATAGAAATAACGAGAGAAAGCGAAAGCGATTAACATCTGACAGTTAACGTTTCAAACATGTTTGCTCGACAGTTCGCGAGATTTCTAAATTCGAGTGACAATGAAATACGCCTGTTTACGGTAAGACAATACATGAAAATCAAGTAAAAACTAATATGCAAATAATGGCATACTTTCTATCAACGATTGTCATTTGCTGCAATTACCTAGTTGTCTATCGTGAAATTAAATACGCGGATAATAGACATATCTTGCTAGTAATTTTTTAATTAGAAATCTGATACCCAACTGAATTCCGTTACATCGACAAATTGAATATTGTCTTAATAATATGGGAAAATAATGTCTTTGTCTACAGTATCTGATTGGAAACACATACAGATAAGCGCCTCTAACTTTGAAACGAAATTATATTGATTTAGAAGGAACAATTATCGTATTTTATTCCAGCGTTCGTTCGTAAAATGACAATAATTAATTGCTTACAGATTATTATACTGTCGGTTGGTTTGCTGAATTTATCGACGGCCGCACCAGACAGTGCAGGAATCGTAGAAATGGTGAAAGGACTGGCGTATGGTAAGTTAGTCTGCTTACTTTCCTTTCATGTTGCACAATTCGTGCCAAGGGAACATAATCTCATATCTTAATTTATAAACAATTTATAATTTCGTTACCTTATCATGCATTATCATTATAATTAGCTTCAGATTTGATAAAGATCCAGCCACTGTGCTTTCACACATTCGATTAAACCGCAACAGAGGACGACACTGAGGTTCGAGAACGTTTCCATCGAATTCCTTTCACTTTTATCGTAAACATTTCAAATTGACAATTAATGTAGAAAATCACTTCATTCCAATGCATCCATTCATTCCATTGCTATCACAAGGTTATTGAAACAGGATAAAAAAATATTGAATTTTATTCGAGTTTTCAATCGCGTGTGGCATAGCGACTTCAATCTAGAGACTTCAATGCGCGGTGGAGATTTCAACGCCTGCATAGGCGGTGTCGACTTACAATATCGCTACGAACATCTCGCAATCGGATTCAAATCGTAGAAACGTAACTGAATATAACAGCAATCATTATAATTGTTATTTTGAAGAAAATTAAATATTATTTAAGAAAATTAAAATTATTAAATATTATTTTAAATAATTATTAAATATTTTAAATATTATTTTAAATAATTATTAAATATTATTTATTATTATTATTATTATTATTAAATATTATTTTATAAAATTAAAATTAAATATTAAAAATTAAATATTAAATATTATTTAATTTTTTTTTTAAATATATAATAAAGCATGATTAACTAAAGCTTTGTCCAACTTTTTCTTTGACTTTAAGTCGACTCAGTATGTAGAACTACGATGCTTGTTGTGAATATATTATTAATTATTATTATTTTGTCGTACTTATTGTATATTTGTATATACATGTTTGCTGTATATTTTTTATATACAATATATAACATTTACGTATACAATTAAACTTCTTCTTTAACACTAACTCTATTTAATTGTTAGAACTATGATGCTTACTATTGGTATTATTTTATTGTATTTATTGTATATATAATGTTGTATCTGTTTATTGTATATTTTTTTATACACACAATATTTAGTTATATACAATGAAGGTTCAAGGTTAATTGAACTTCTCGTCCAATTTCTTTTGTAATTTTAACTCAACTCAATTATTAGAATCACGATGATTATTGTTATTACGAATGTATACTAACCATTATTATTTTATTTCAGGTGGCATTCCCTACGGAAGCGTAACCGGAATGGTAGCAAACTATCCAGGATTCACGAGGCAGCAATTTAATTACAATCAGGCTCGACAATTAAATCGATTTAGGAACGAAGTGCCGTTGGTTGTTAATCCAAATTTCAGGGCCACGAGATTAGTGGACACGCAATCAGAATCTGTACAAATTTACAAAGACCCTGGTGTTCTCGGCTCTATCAATTACATAGAATACTATGCTCCGTTAGTTACAAAAAGTTAGTTACAAAAAGTTAGCAATAAAAGGTACAGAATCTCCATCGACTTTCTTCTAACAATTTCATTGCATTCACCACGAATTCCACTATATTTGTTGTCGCATATAATTAACATATTCGCATGAACTCACGCAATTTCATGCTTTCTTTTCTTTTCTTTTCGTTGCCGTTGGGTTGTTGTATTAAGCAAATTTCGAGGATATTATTGAAAGTAAATTTGAAAGGAGAGAAACAGGAAGTTGAGGTGCTTTATTTTACAAAATGAAAAATTATTGGCTAAGAATCGCCTTTCAAAGCAATTTGTCCCGTACAAATATATACAGAATGAATCTCTTCAATTACGTTTGCTCAATCATTGTGTAGCAAACGAAAACGAATAGAAATATGACAAGTCATAATCCGGACGTGATCGACAGCTTTCTACCAAGTGAATCAGTATTTCCGCGGCGCGTGCTGTAATTCTGTTCCGAAATATTAAATTAAAAATAGTTCCTTCCCGATAAACTGTATATCTATCGTTACGAAATTTAAACAACAGATGAACAGAATATTCGGTGAATTGTTGAACAATCAATTTTGTATCAGTTGTACGACTTTCTCGTACGAAACTCACAAAAATCGATCGATATCGCTCGACTGCACGACAGTCTGTTAGAGATTCGACGAGAGAAATTGTACGTAATTTCGTTCACGCATGAAATATTCAAAATTCGCCGGTCTTATATCAATTGAATTAGGGCAAAAGCGTTTATGGAGAGAAAGTATAAATGACATCGGGCACGGTGTATGCCTGTTAGTCGTCACGAGCTGCACGCACGATGCATTACTCTCTACACGTGAGTATACACGAACGCTAATACGATCCACGTTGACAGAGAGAAGAGAGAGAGAGAAAAAAAAGAAAAAAGAAAAAAGAAAAAAAACAGAGCCGACAGTTTCGCAACTGCGAAAATGATATTCGTCCTACATCGATGCGCCGTGCGGTAACGGGGCTACTTTCTTGCACACGTGAATCGAGAGAATTAATTTTCGTCCCGTTTGCCTCAAACGACACGATTCAGAGCCAATTGTCCCTTACATAACGCCGCTTATCCTTATCGGATTGTTCTGCCGTACGTGTTTGATACGGAGAAGTAACGTAACGATTAATAACGATTAAAAGGAATTAATCGCCGGGTGCCGTAACTCGCGACGCGGGAAATAACAATGTGCGATAAATCAGAAACTCGGCCAGCGAAACTTCTCTGATCAAAATTGCAATCGAAAAGAAGTTCGGAACACGCGAACACGGGATAGTCACGAGGAATGGAAATTGTCGTTGTTGATCGTAATCGTGGCAAGAAAATCGTAATAGTCGCGCAACCGCGAATAGATTTATTGCGCTACCCGCGGAACAGATGTTGCACGAAGACGTGCACATGTCAGACAAATTTTAATGAACCGTTCTACGATCCGTTGTCCGTCGGATTCGCATTTATGTGTTCGCAAGTGCACGTCCTTGCGAGAAGAAAGGATTAAAACGTTGCGTAATCGCGCTAATTACGATCCGAGAAGAACAATATGAGACAGTGCCTACGTGTGTCTCGTTGTTCTGAGAGAACGCGTTCCACTTGCATGGTGTCCGTGCAATTAACTGTAAACGAATATCTATCCGAAAGAATGAAACCTTCGTCGTTGATAAAAAAAAAAAAAAAAGAAAAAAAGGAAAAAGAAAGAAAGAGAAAAATAATGAGAAATATTAATTGTCGACACAAGATGTCCTATCGCTATTATGTTTCCCAGACGTTTAATTAAGGAAACGAACGCGTGTGTTTAATTAACGAACAGAGATTCGCATCTCGTTTCTCGTGCGCGTTGATCAATGGTCGGTTCGTTTATTGATCGGTCGTCATTGTTGAATGAGGAGGCTATTGTGTGTCAGCTTCGTTAGAAATTTCATAGTGTTCATCGGGCGCAGCTTTGGATCGCGATAGTGACCATTCACGAGGATTTACGTTTACTTACGTGTAAATCGTAAGTGACCACGTGCGTTTTATTCCGATCGCGGTGCACGCCGTTTGTAGAAATTAACCTTGTGAATGAATAAACCATGAATGAAGCGTGTCCTTACTTGCTTTCTACGCGATTTACTTGTTGCCAATTGACACGTGCCGAATTCACGAGACTTTTTTTTCTGTAAATAACCTCGTGTAGTATCGATCAATCATTGACGATATTATATATTATATTTATTAGTTATTATTTATTATTATCTGATTCGAATTAAATTCATTTACCATTTGTTATTGCTAGTACTCCTGAAGAGAGAATGTTTTCGAAAAGCAAGGATTTCTAAATCTACGCGTCTACGCATTGGTATACGGATGTGCAATTGTACAATTTCATAATTACGATTTTCTGAAGAAAAATCGCGGGTAATAAGCAACAATTGACCGAACAATTTCCTTATATGCGACGAATGGTACAATAATTGCAATCCATTTTCCCTGATTTCTTTCATGCGTGCCGCATATTTCACAATGCAATTTCAATGTTACGCAACCGTGGACGACAGTGTTCTCGATCATCGTGTTCATTCAGTTTTGTTCTCGGAATTCTAGATATTTCAGGAAGCGATAAGCTCGCCACGATCGATTGATTCGTCAAGCGCCACAGTCTCGCGGATAACAGGTTCTGTAAGAAATAAATGAGAGACATTGATGACTTCCTATTGAAGGAATGTATAAATTCTGCTACACAAGTACCTGCCATACGTGTTATGCATCATATATAACGTCACAACGAAAATGAATAAATTCGAATGAAAAATATGATGACTCACGATGAAAAATATAAATTATCATTTCACAAATCTGCAGAGACTTCAAATTGTCGGACATTGATAGTTGCAATTCGAAATTTTTATCAAAATTTCGAACTCGGAACCCTGTTGAAATCACTGTCGAAATTTAATTCGATACTTTTTTGTTTAAACGCAACAAAAAAATCTGACAGATTAAGATCTCGAATTCAAAGCCGATATTACAACTGTGGGGGAAAAAATTCAATTGGAGGAACAAAATTGTAGCGAGGCTACCTCGATCGAAGCGTTTCGAAACGCATAGACGCTCTTCCGTCTTCGCGATTGCTTTCCCGCAAAATTTTCACAATCGGCGGAATCCACCACGTGGAGACCAAGTGTGTCACATACGAAACGGTGCGTTGATCTTTCAGGTTTGAGCATGTGTGCTTCTTCCATTGCACAATGACAAATAAAACATCGTATTGCAGAAAATTGTCGGACACGCTACCGTGCCGCCTCTCATTACTCCCTCTGTGTTACGCAGCTCAAAGGGAAGTCCAGATTTTTTCGAAAATAAAAGAAGGAGACCCTATGCCTATTTTCCCTTTGACTATTTTCTCTTTTTTTCACTTTTTATTTTGTTTCGCAGATAACAGTGGTGTTCGTCGGTCTATGGATTCTTCGGGGCGACGTGAACGCGGCGAAAAACGGACTTAGTAAGTCGATTGTTATTCCGTTCTGGGAAACGCTTTTAACGATCACTATGCACATCCTTGAACTGATTTTAGAACAATGATGATTATTTTTAGAAAGGGAAATTCTGCGAACAGAATGCGATCAGTTTTGGTTTTATCATGTGCATCGATATTCGCCATTTGTTTGATATTTTAACGTGGACTGATGTTTGGAATTATTGAATACTAAGTATATTGGCATTTAAAATCACTTTATGTCAAATGAATTTGGAATTATTAAATATTAATGTATTTGATATAAAATTTATATTAATAGATGTAATATAAACTTGTGGCTTAATTATTTAGAATTAATGGCAGCAAGCTAAGATTCAGAATTATTTTTAATATGAAATAACCAAAATTTGGGTTCACCAATATCGATTGCAAAAGTGATATTAAATTCACTGACATTCAAAATTGTTCGATGTTAAAGCACAATGTTCAAACACATTTATTGACTTTTAAATTGCTTTTCAAAATTGTTTCGTTCAGACGTATGGAAAGAAGCAAAGCTGTTTCGTGAAATAATCGTGTTACGTTCTTTCACGACTTATTACGGGCATTAAAGTAATTTAAATGGACAAATTAAACGTAGTTTAAGCTTCGTGATGCAACATTAGCCAATCTTCTAAAAAAAAAAAAGACAACGACAAAAGTATTCTGAACAAAGACAGAAGTATTCAAAAGGAGAAAGTGTAATTGACATCCAATATGATGCATGTCACTTAGTCTTCGTGAGTGATGCTCACGACCCACGTGAGTCCGCTAACATTAATAGGATCCCTGTTGACAGAATAGAAAGAGCATTTTCGCAACTGTCATGGTAATTTAATTAAATTTTTCTCTTGTCTTTTAAAGATCCATTTGAATATCGATTTTTTTTTTAAAAATACTCATCCTTGTTTAAAATTTATCATATCCGTTTTAATTAAGCCTGCTTGCTCCTACTTTTCAGGGATACAACAACACTGAGGTAGTTTGTTAATAAATTGTACACGACTGTAAGATAAACTTTGCCCCGAGAAAGTTTTTTGTTTATTCCTGGCTTTCAATCACACTCGCGATTTCCTTATTGCGCTCAGTTTGAACTTTGGAACTTTTTCTAGTTACATTTATGTAAGCCATGTTTATATTGAACAGTCTCTACTCGCCTCTGGCTATACTCATAGCTTCAGTCGCCTACGTATATCTATGGCGACTTTTAGTTTTACATTACGTACGATGTGACATTAACATACTCTCCTGGCCGGAACATAACGTCTTTTCGATTCGAACTTGCTTCGAATATGTTGTAATATCAAATCGGAGAATCGAGTAACAAAAATACTAGCTGTTTTTTCAAAGGCTAAAAGCCATGATAAATATGTAAGAATGCAAATGGCGAAGGTTAAGAAGATCGTGGAGTTACACACAAAACTTCGAATCTTACTTTCGAATAATATTGACTTACAATTTAATTCCTTCGTAACATATGTGCATTTATGTTCTATATTTTACTTGATAAAGATCATCACTTGTAGGATATGAATTTAAATTAAATAATTCCAAAAGTTAAATTCACCTGACTCAAATGTAAATCGATCCGAAAACTAACAGAGCTAGAAGCAAAATGATTTATTTCCAATTTAAATCGATTAAATTCGACTCGAAGTCCAAAGCCTTCAAAATTCCATTCATCGAATTCACTCTGTTTGCGAAATAGGCGCCGAGGTGCTGACGTCTTTCGCCAGGAACATCGCGTCGGTCTTGTCAGCCACCTTGCTGAACGAGTATCAGGATCCACCATCGAACCAATCATCCACCAATCTTCTCAACAGAATCCAGGAAGCGCAATTCCCCTTGGACATCGACCACGCTCCACCAGAGAGTCCAGCCAACTCGTCGAACGCTTCTTTCAATCGCTATCCTCGCTACACGCGTGAATCTTCGTCGAACGAGGGGAAGCAAGCAACGTTTCAAGACACTCTCGTAACGAACGTGCCTCAGTACTCCAAATATTACAATTCGGAGGCGTACAAACCGTACGAGTTCGCCGTAAATCGCGACTCGCGAATTTCTTACGACCAACTAAACGTAGAGACACCAGAGAACGTGAACGAAGGTGGTGCTAAGGAGAATTCTATCGACGCGGACGTCAAGACAGCCGCTCTTCACTATCGGTATCATCAATCGCCTGGATTCGGGTACAAGCCCGAACGTACGCACCAATTGCCAAATCCAAATCACTATCCCCTTCGACTCGATCTTCAGTCGAATTATCATCGTCTGTCGCCTCAAACACCTGTCGGTCCTCCGCAATCATCCTCGTCGGCCGAAACCGTCAACCCGATCGACGAGAACGAGAACGCTCAGGTGGCCAGGATAACTCGTAGGCCGTTTCACCTCAACTATCACTCTCCCTTGAACGCGCCTTATTACCCGTTTCATCATCATGCGGGATTCCATCCTCACGACCGACCCGTCGAAGGTGAGAGCCAGAATCCCGCTAACGGACAAGCAGGCGAGAGCAATCCGTCCAAATTGATCGACGATCAGAGTCAAGGCCAGACCGCGTTTGCGGGATACGATTACGGCCCTCGTTTTCACTACAGGCATCCGTATTACGATGGTTTCTATCCCGGGTTCCCTGGATTCTATCCTCGTCCCTTCAACGAGTCTTTTCGCAATCACGGAAACGGGAATCACGGTGATCACAATGGGACAAATGGCGCGTTCGGTCCGTACGGTTACCACCATGGACCATTCTTTCACGGTCCAAAGTTTCACGGCCCTTATGTTCCTTATAATTCGTATTACCCGTATTTCCACGGGCCGAGAAGACCGGAGAATCATGGACCACCGGAGAATCATGGGAATTCTGAGCAATTGGCGTCGCCGGAAAACGGGTATGCCGATGGTAATTCTACTGGGAATCATCATGGTGGATATCCGTATTACGGTGGTTTCCCTTACTACGGCCCTTATCACGGTTTTAATTTCCATCCGTATCCTCTGGCGCCGTTTCACGGGCTACCTTATCGTTTCGGTCATGGTTTCCACAGTTTCCTGTTTCCAGGATTCAAACCTGTTCCCTACTTGAATTTCTATCATCATTACCCGTTCGCACACTGGCACCCCTTCGGTGGATATTACCACCATAATAATCGACCCATGATGGCGGAGAAACCTGGACAGACGGAGAAGAATGGAAATGAAAATTCAGAGCCAGCACCAAACAGCGAGGCTGAAATGTTGTCTGAGAGTAAACTGGAAGCGATTCGGTCTTTAGCCTTGAGCGGATACGAGAAACGTTTCAATCCTGAGTTTGTTAGCAAAGAAAGAAATGGTGATCGAGTGTTCAACGAATTATCTTGATTGTAATTTATGATTATTATTAAACTGTAAGTTTCTATGCATTATTTCTATTTCTATTTTCTATGCAGACGTATAATTTTATGGATTTTATGGATCGAAGAAATGGGAATTGAAAAGAGATTTGTTTTGTCCCTTGAAAAGTTGTTACGACGATGCATTCCTTTGCTTTGAAAATTCGCAAAGAAATGCGATAAAAATTTGCAGTCTGATTATTGTAGCGTGCTAATATCTAGGTATCTAATGTACTATGTATCGATGATTGATTAAAGAATTAAGGACAATTTTCTTCTTCTCCGGTAATTTCTTTATCATTTTACCGCTGATGCATACGTTCTTTCAATTCAAGACACACCGCTGACGCATATAGTTCGCTGTCTGAATTATTTCAGTCGCACTGCTGATGTAACTATTTTATTTTCATCGAGTATTATGTTACCTACCGTGTCTCTATATTGTTACTTACTAAGATACTTTGGTTAAAAATAAATTGATGATAAAGTTGGACGAAAAGGCATTAAATATCCAAAGGCTGGAAATGGTTGATATTTTTGAAAGTACAATTTGAAAGGAATAGAAGATCGATAGAAAATTGTTCTACTATTCCACTTTTCACAATAAAAGTATTATTGTTACTTTCAATAAAGGAAAATGAAATTTCAGCGCGTTGCAGCAAAAGTGTCATTCAATCTTCCTCCTTTCACTAAATGAAAATTAAAGAATTAAATTTATTTCAATGATTGAAACAAACTCTGTTGGAAATAACGAAGGTAAATTCGCGATTGGAGTTTAATTTTCTGTTTGCCTCCAAAGACGGAGAAATTTATTTTTATTTCAACCGAGGTTCGACAAAATGTCACGACGACTTACAGACGACTCATCTGTCGACTTATCTGTCGACTTATCCGGTGACATGTGCCGTAACTTGGCATTGGTCAACGAAACGTTCCCATGGTTATGATATACAAAAAAGTTCCCATAGCTCTAGTTGGCCTTATTCTGCAATTATATGCCGTGTCCATCACGCATGCCAACTATTACGGTCTAATAATTTTCTTGACCTTCGTTAAGACGTTTTGCATACATGAATGTGATCTATCAATCAATCAATCTCTGTAGATGTTTATGTATTTATGAAAAATTCATAGACGCAGAAACGTGCAGAATGAAACATAGTATTTAAATCGTAGTACAGTTAGCAGTTTAAATGGTAGTATTTAAATTTAGTGCATTCCTTTTTTATTAAAAATTTTTATTGAACACGTTCGCGAAAATTTGTACAAACGTTCTCGATTTATTGATCAAAAATACGAGACAACATTGACATTGTAACGGCAAAATTTAAAATGTAACAAATAAATCAAATAAGTTTTTATTTAAATTAAAAATTGTATTGAATCTGGATTATTTGATTAAAGTTTTTGACTAACTTTTTTACTGTTTTTATCCTTTAAAAAATTTGAAAAGAATTCATAAATACCTATTGAAGTCTGTACTTTAATATACAATAGAATATTTCGAGGAACAACTGAATAAAAATACTCACTTTCAAGAATGAAATTTGGAACCAAGTCATGGAGGGTTAATCGTCTTTGTAAAAATTTGTATAAACATAAATGAAATGAAAAAGTCGACGATATTTAGAGGATCAAGCAAACTTTCTGTTTGTCGTATTCGAAGGATCGATCGAATACTAATAATTAACCTTTGAGAACAACGCAATAAAATCGATTTATCGCCTCTGATTCAAGGTGAGTACAACGATACGTAATACACGGAAAGTCCTTCGCGATATTGCCGATCGTAGATTCTGGGGATATATTCCGTGTGAAAAGAAAAAAAAAAAGGATCGCGTAACTGACGGAATTAGAAAACGTTTCTGAATGTTATCGATGATTAAGGCGGGGCACGATCATCATGCAAATTAGCATTAACGATATTGTTGAGAGAATAGATACGAATCACGTTGCAACGAAACTGATTTTACATACGCGGATGTAACGTGCCGATCATTTTTCGCTCGATCAACTGTTACGATCGCGAGTCAGGACTTTGTAATATTCGTTCGTGTCAAACTTGCTGATAAATCAAACAACCAGGACGATATTGGAATACGCGATGCGTTTGATACGTGTGCAACAATTGCGCACGATAAACGAGACGTTCGACGAAAAGAAATGCAGCTGGTAATTACGCTGGTCATAAAGTCACGCAATTCTTTCGCAGCGAAACGAAATAATTACTCGTAGCGTGTATGTCGATTGCGCGATCCTGTTGTGGAAGACTCTTTTCTCGAATCGTCGCCGTGTAACATACATTCGAATTTATTGATCACCAGTGAAATTTCTGTTTTGAAGATTGTTCCGCTTAGTAACCCCGAAGGCAAAGAGAAGAAAGGTAGAAAGAGAGATTATTAATACACATCCACGCTAATAGCAGAGTATTTTTGGTTCATCGAAAGATTCAGTTGAGCAACGTTACGGTCAATGAGGCTTACGAGCATCGCGCATTAACTGCAATTAATGACAGGACTCATCCTCGGTTCCACGTGTGTTGCAACGATCGTTTCCTTTTTCTTCTTCTTCTTCTTCTTCTTTTTGATTTCGTCCCGTACCGTGTAATTTCACCATTTTCCCCTCTCTTCCACGCTCCTGTTACGCAACCCTGTAACTTTTCTTCTTTCTGTCCCGATCACGATACAAACCGGCTATTACATCTCCTTTCGTCGCACGTCTGCACGCATTGTCCTTACTCGTATGGCAATTAAATTATCCAACGGCGTATCGTAATCATCGATTCGCATATCGACCCAATTATTCTGACATGTTTTACTTCTCAACGCTATCAATTTATGGTAAATTTATAGAGATTAATGAGATTTCCAATTTTTCGACGATATGAATACCGTTTTAATTCATTCAGTTTTATTAATCTTATGGTAGAAAATTCTAATTATGTTATTCAAATTTGATACACTAATTTATAGGCCTGTGACGATGCTATCTCACGAGATTTCCAATTTTTCGACGATATGAATAAAACTTGGCCTATCGTATCTACCGTTTTAATTCATTCATTTTTATTAATTTTATAGAAATGATTCTAATTAAATTATTCGAATTTGATACACTAGATCTTAACAACTATGTGGTATCGCGATGTGAGACAACAGGCGGTGAAATTCGTCAGAGAAACAAGGAAAACGAAAGTCGTCAAACGAAACGAGACAGAGACGAGCTTCATAATTTCAGTTCAGTCCGAGCCGCGCGAATTATTATTCTCGTTACGCTGTTATTGAATCAGCCGCTCAAAATGAACTCGCCCTCCAGAAACAGAAGGCGTTTGGAATATCAACGAGAGCTATCGCTTCCCGCGAGATACAAACGAATTCAAAGAGATGCCGCGGAATTCACAATGCAAATGTCACAACAGCAGTTTCCCCTCTCGGCGACGCTTTGTCTATTTATTTTTTTCCATGTGTGGCGCGTACGCGATATAGAGACATTGGGAAATATAATGGAGGGTTTCTCAGACGAAAAGCAATGGATTCTTCGGCAAATTTGGATGTCAAGGCACCGTTCACAGGGCGTGCACACGGCTGACCATCCCGAAGCCGAACGTTGCTGCATCGTCTCTCTTTCATAATGACGCGTTGCATTCGCATAATCTCAGAGTAACAATGCTGGCCTTTGCTATTAGTGTTAACAGAGGGAAGCCAATACGAAGGCTGGGAATATTGCCCGTTGGGGGCCGTGGCGGAACACGCCTTTGTTATAAAAGAAACGGCGACGAACGTTGGACGAACAGTGGAACACTACTGACAGATCGGAAAAATTAGTGCAATTCCTCGAGGAGTTAACGGCAGTGTCAGCTGACGGAGAATGGCTTGCTTGAAACTTGTAAGTAAAGAAATTTCGACTCAGAGAGAGTCGATCGGCAGTTCAACCAATAAACTCCATTGGAGATAATGAATTGTAAAGTCTTTTTCGAGAATTATACACCAACGGTGCGTACTCCAGCATCGAAATTGTGAAATTTTCAAAAATGCAGCTGATCAATTTGGCTTTTGAATACGATACGTCGCAAAGAAATTAAAGAAGTAAAGAAATTTCATCCCTTATCGATAAATTACAATTGAATTTATTCTTATTTTCATATATCTACGTTTAGGTATTTCATTTTTTATTTACTCTCGTGATAGTATATTTTGTCAGCTCCGTTTAAATTTCTTATTCAGGTTTCATTTAAAATATTCGTCCTTCCTTCTGTAATATCCGCCGCAAATAATATTTAAAAACGAAGAACGTCATTTCTCAGTATTCGTATACATTAATTGGAAACTTTTAATAATTCTCAAGATATTATTCTTGGACAACATAATAAATTTGAAGGAAGGTGTCAGATGGGTGGAAAAGATATACGAGCGTACAAAGGAATTTGTTAGAAAATTCGTAGAATCGATCGCTATATCTGCATATATATGTAGAAGTTTCGTGACATTTACCACACATTTTGAGGATGCTGTCTGTTCCTCTTTTTTTTTTTAGTACACAGTCCTGCTGCTGGCTGTCATTATTGGCATCGTCGCTGCGAAACCAGGATATTTCGGTGGCTACTACGGCGGCTATTATCCTTACGTTTATAGCTATAAGTATCCGTTCTACGGGTATGGACACGGTTACGGGCATTATGGTAAGAAACATGCATGTGAGAACAATTTGGACCGCGAAGAAAGTGCTTTCAACGTCAATGAATTTTTTGTATGTTTCAAATGGAACTTTACATTCTCAATTTTTGAAAATCTTCGTCCAACATGATCATCTTTGTTTTTTTTGAGTTTTCTTGAACAATTGAGCCATAATGAAACGGACAAAATATTCATCGACGTTGCACACGAATTAAGTGACGTACAATAAACAAAATATTCATCGACGTTACCCTGTGATCCTAATCTGCTTTTCCCTTTAGGCTACCCCCACTATGGTTATGGTCACGGATTTGGTCACTATGGTTATTTTTAATTGAAAAGACGACTGTTTGGATACCACGATTCCCAAAGAAGAAATATCTTGAAACCGATCTATCCACCGTAGATCCGTCGATTTTATTGTCGTAAATCCCTTCACTCGAAAAGCTTTACCGCAAACTGCATTTATTTTCTATTGATATTCTCGAAATCCTAGTTATTGCCGAACGATGAGGATGTTTGTCAAATAACCGGTTTGGGCTTTATTTGATCAAACCTTTGGCTCTCATCGTCGTTAAAGATGTTGTGCAAATCGAGCAAATAAAATGTAGATTTCAATAGATGTGTCGTGTGTTTGAAATGTCTTATCATCGAGACTTATGCGAACCTTTTTCATTGCACGTTTCTTAGTGAGAATAATATTGCAAGGCTACATATTTGATCGTTTCACGAAAATATCATTTAATGTGCTTTTTTTTCTTTTGATAAATAAAATTTAACAAGGATAAAAGTATCCGTAATTACAATAAATATCTTTCACGGTGCATTTTGCGAGTTTCTAAAAATGAGCGTATAATAAAATACATCACTCGGATGAAAAGGAATTTCTTGGGAAAAGAAAAAATTTCTTTGAACAATTTCCGAAGAATTGAAAATAATGAGTATGAGGTATCGAAATTCAACAAATACTCAATAAACTTAAAACTCATTGCATGACCAAGCACAAGGTACTCTTTTCCATGGTGTTTCATAATATCGAATCGTAAGCTAACGGCTGATCATGAATCACGAAAATGCATCGGAGGATGTGACAGACGTAAAAAATGAGAAATGTTAATCTGATATCAGAGAATAAATTGTTGTTATTGAAGATGATTGAATTTTACGAGACACGAATTTTAATCGGTATCTTTATCTTGGCAGTTGGAGATTAATGCGATAGTCACGTGCACAATTTCTGACGTTTCTCTTGATGTTACTGAACGTCAAGACAGTTTGTTTGATGAATTTCAGATGGCACCTTTAGCATTAGAACTATCGATAATCATAAAATGAGAAAAAGAAATTTTATAATACAACAACTTTCGTTTCACAAGCTTTTATTTATAGATTTCACGAAAGATCATTGAAATCTCTAAACAATATACTGCTTTACATCTATAAAAATCTCTAAAAGAAATTATAAATTGGTCAATTTTAAACATCTTGATAATTCCAGTGTCAAAGTGCTATACTTTAATTTTATCAGGAAAATAAACAAGTATGTTTCGTCTGAGGAATTGTACTTTAATTTTAGCAGTAAAAGTAGCAAGTAGTACCTAATACTACTCACGCAAGATAGCTTTGCTTTTTGGTTAATTCGCACAGTGTAGATAATGTTTGCAGCGATACAATAGCGCAGGTTAGAATTTCGTGGGTAAATACGCTCAATGCTAAATTCATTACGATCTGACGTACTATCTTGCGAGGAAGATCAATGACAGGCGAAGACGAGTTAATTGTTACGTCGTAAAGGACATTTTTAGTCGCGTGGCCTACATACATGGCCTTCTAATTTCTCCAGTGAATGGATGGATCCACATATATCTTTCGACCTTCGAAAAGCTAATATCTCATTTATGAAAGTCCTCGAGATATTTGGAATATCCTCGCAGCGTGTTCGAAATTTGTGGTTCGAGGAAACTTTTCGAGACAAAGGAAAGGACAATGAACACTCGATTATTAAACTTGTTTAATTAAACGACGAGTGAAGATATTAAGAGAGAAGATTATACGAATGTTCGAGACTTTCAACAAAAAATTTCATTGTAAGTTACTCGAGAAGAAGCATCGCTGGATTCACACTGTATAAATTAAATAATACGTTATCAAAATTACTAACACCAAAGAAAAGAATCTGAATAATAGATATTAATCTTCGTGAAAAAATACAATTTCATTTGGAATTAAAAATAAAATTAAAATTCAGATGAAATTATAATTACCTACTAAGACGAAAGGATTGATAAACTCTTTATTGTTATTAAGCATAAGCTTTGACACCTTCATCAATTGATCAGTTCTAGCCTTCAACAATGGTCAGTTCTAGCCTTGACTGCAGCACACTTGCATGAAACAAGGTCGATGTCGTAGAATCGATGGAGTCTGCAGGGCTTAATAGAATGCATAATGTTATTGTAACGAACGATTGGACAACTAGCCAGTGGACTATGTCGTACAGATTAGTCACTAAGATATTCAATCTACTGGATCCAAGAGACCGGTCGGATATCCAGACATAATTATCGATAATAACAGTATTATTCATTTGACAACCATTCAATAAACACCTACGATGATTTATAGATTTATTAAACGAATTAATTCTGCATTTTCATGTTTCAATATAATTTTAGTCACAGTTTCCAATATGATTTTAAACACAGATTACGAAAATTTATGCAAATTCATTTTTTCATATTTCTACGAATACAGTTGAAAGAATAAAACTTTGACAGAGACCTGTTTCGCCCATTAAATATCGCAATGGATACCATATTTTGAATATTTATACATTTTTGCATGTTACATTCAATTATCTCCCGCATAAAAACCGCAGTTAATTTTTAAACTATTTTCATTAATTAAGACAGAATAAAAAAATTCGTAAATCAGAGAACTACCGTTGTTCGGCGATATTTTATGATTTGAACGCCTCCAAGGTTATTAATTCTAATCGGTTCTCTTAACTTTCGTGGCTTAGAAATCGTTAGGAACACAATATTGCACAACATGGATTTTTTATTGGCTCATTGACCATCTCCAAAGTTGTCGAAACGTCGTTGCCTATGTCCAGTTACAAAATTTTCTCTTAGACCCTGTATCTTATCTAAGAATCTCCGTGTCATCGATCATACCATCAATCAATTTATGAAATTTGAAATTTTCTCGAGAATGTTGAATCTTATTTAGTAACTTTTTGATAGGGGAATCTCAAACAGTGATACTGGGGAAATGTTTGATCACAGTGTTGAAAGACATTTTGAGAGAGTCACTTAGTATTGAAAATGTTGCTGAATTCAGGTTTCTACACGTATTCGTTGCTTAATTGGGCAACATCGTCGCGATTAAGAGAGAGAATGCATCTTCATCTACGGTGGATGATCCGTATGTGCAGGTGTAGAGGTCAGCCGCGACTTTTCAGGTCATCCAGACTTTTACTTCGCTGCGTGCAAACTGTAATCTCTACAAGTGTGATTTTAACGTTAACGTATAGAACGTTTTATTAGTAACAATTTACTTCCTCGTGAAACCCACGTGAAACCATATATGTACATTCGAAAGATCCGCAGGAAAAGAAGGGAATGTCAAATCTTTATCTTGTGCCTCTTATCATTTGTTATATCACATTGGAAATGAAAGCCTTCTGAATTTTATAAATTGAAGAAATAAATTTTCCCGAGAAATGCTAAAATTTGATATTCCTCCTTTCTCTCGTGGATCCTTCATTTATTTTTGTCCATATTATCATTTTAAAATAACAAAATAATATCGTATTTGTCCTTACCTAAAGTAGCCTACAGAACTATCTGTTGTGTATCGAAAAAATTGATCGTTAAACAAGAAATGTATATTTATATATATATCAGCAAAAAACCTGGGAATTTACGATCTTTTGGATCCGTGAAATTTTAATGAGGTGTCGTTTTCGAGGTGAGCCTCTTCAAAACTTTTACTATATACCTTAAATGCCAAAGTTGAAGTTACTAACTTTTATTCGGACGGGACTCAAAGAAGATGATATAAAAAAAAAATCTAACAGGGATTAACAAATTTAAGATTATACGTCTCGAAAAGAAAAAAGAAAACGAGGATGGTAAATAAAAACGGAGAAGAATATTACGCGATCATTTCATTTTATGTAATTGTATGAATCTTGTGAAATCGACTGTAATTAATTACAACACGTCAGGTTTCAGTCTTGATCTATTCAGGCCTCATCACGCGTGCTCAGTGATACACTAAATTCTTGCAATAAGAAGATACAGGTTGTTCGTAAATGTTCGATGTAAACGTTTGCTTTGAAAATTAGCATCGTGCTGGAAATTTATAAAATACTTTGAAATACATTCGTTGCTACTGAATCATATATCGTATCGATCCAATTATATAGTAAATTCAACATAGTGCAGGTGCAATTAATCATTAATTCATTTTCACCGTCCATTATCTAAATATATAGCAATTACTATCTTTGCCAATCCAACTAAATTCCATTTTATTGCTTCACGCTCTTTTCACGCTTGAATTCTAATCTTCTTTGCCGTGAGATCGGCGATTAATAAATAGGTAATTCCATATTAATCGTTTTCGCAGATTGCGTGGCGCGTATAAGAAAGAAATTCTTTCGAGAATTCTCCTCTTTATCATATAGACACGCTATAAATCATGTTCTACTCGGACACAGTTAAGTCACGGCAAAGAAAAGAAGTGGATTTATAAATTAGGCACCGTATAACAGAGAAACCCAGAGTCACAGTCTTCAGCTTGAAAAAAAAAGTCACACACTTTCGCCTGAAAAGAGAACCATAATGCACGATTCGCCGTAATCTTAAAGCCAAGCAATTAATTCATCTTCACTGGACCAGCAATGGAAATATCACTCTTGTCTGTGCGACGATTTTATCTGAAATAAGAAAAAGATCGAAGGTCGAACGAACCTTCGTGATTACGACCTTTCCTATGGTCGACGTAGCTCCTTCATTCAGTTGAAAACTAAATACTAAGAGAGAAAGGATAGTTCTATATGGAAGAAGAAACTTCATTCATGCGATAATTATTACAATTTCTCAAATTCTCTTAATTTCTCGCTAGTGTGTCCTCGTACGTAAAGAGGAAGCTGTTTACTATTGTTTAACTATTGCTCGTCTGTGTATTTAATTTCTTTAGCGCACAATCTAATTCCTTTCCGAGAGATAATTCGAAAGGACGATTATAACAGAGTAATAACGATAATAAGAGCCAAGAGGGCTCAAAGTCGGTTTGTACTACTTAAACTACGCGTGGCCCCGTGTTCTAATTCTTCATTGTTATAATCGTGGGAATTCGCCGGCCATTTGTGCAACAAGTTTGACGCAACTTCGAAGAAATATGGTTAATAACAGTGAAAACGTTTAGAGAGATTACCGTTGTTGTTAGTAATTTATCGTAAAGTTCAGTTAACCGTTGCAAGTTGAAGAGAGAAATGAAGTCACGAAATTGAAGCCTGGAACGAATCTTCGATGGAAACGCGAGAATAGATATTGAAACTGAAGATGTATCGTTATGAAAGATCCGATGAAGAGAATCTTTCTCCATTTCAACAGTTTCCATAACGTGTGAATATATGAGAATTCATTACATCATTTCAACTTCTACATTCTATATTATCATTGATTGAACGCTTTTATTTACTTTTATTTAAAAATTATTTAAAATCAATCTGACAAATGTGAAATAATTTCGAACATTCGTACATTTGTAAAGTTTCCATGAAAAATTATGATCACTTTGATAAGTCTTTTGTTGAAGAATCGAGAATTGATCGATCGACGATCGCGCTGCGGCAAATAATATAAAAGGTCGAAATAATGGCTGGCGCGAACTTCGATTAGTCAACGAGCGTTAGATGGATTATTGAACTATAATTAAATCGTTTCGTTCAATCGTTACCATCTATCGAGCGAAGTGACTCGTATTTTCAGATTCTTTCAAGGCTTCATCGAGGAGAATCTTTCACGTAGCGCGCTTCATAGTCGGTCATTACGTGGATAGTGTCGGACTTGGATGCTCAATAGAAACTGCATAGGCGAATCTGAAGTGGCGTTCATTTCGCGTATAAATTCACGTTGGCTCGCTTACTCGCGAATTTCTCACGCAATCGAAAGGAAAAGAAGTATGTATCTCAGTTTCTCTCGTTAATAAAATCCACAAGTACGATTCAAAGAAAAAGAAACTTTATTTTGGTAAATAAAAGTATTTTAATCGAGATAGATTGAAAGAAGGGAAAATCGGAAGAAACTAGTTGCCTCGCATGCAGGTAATTAACATTCGTTCGGAGCGGCTTCGGTTGAGTAAGATCGCGTTTCACACAATTAGAATGACTTAGAGCTATCAGATGCAGTTACGTCCAATTAGTCGGTTTTTCGAGCGCTTATTCTATTATTTGTCGGACGAACGTCTTTGTTACGGTAACAGCACGGAGTGGCGACATCGGTAAGCGACTCAGGTGTAAATACATATATATATATAGCACACGAATCACTAGGCGAACCACGGTGAACTCACGTAACGTTCGGTATGATTACGGCCGATCGTCGAGCATCATTGTGTCCGACGTTCTTCACCTGCATGAGAATCTACTTAGACGAATCTTGCCGATGACCGAGTGATACCGAGCGAAATCTTGCGTAAAAGCAGATTTTCCCGTAATCGTCTACTTTACATATACTATTTTCGTGGAATTCCAACCGATACCTTGCCAGACATGATGCGTCTAAATAACAAGTTGCCGGAGAAAGTAAACGCAGTAACTTTCATGTACCTTCGTCTTCTTTTCTTTCAAAAATATTCATCATCATCCATTCAGCGGCGTGTTGTCAGTTTCTATTTAGCGCCTGACGTTAGACCGATTGTTAATAATTCTTATTCTAATTCCAAGATCGCAGATATCGAACGAGGAAAGAATTGATTACGACATAATTGTGGTAGCACTCGGCACGAGAACAAGAGTCTAACATTCTTCTCATGAGATAACTTAATTACGCTCAATTATTCAGAAATAATATTACGCGACGATGGGTATTCTGTTACCCATCTGCGTGGAAGTAACCGATGAATAATTGGGCGACAGACGAGCTCCCGAAGACGCAGCTTTTTAGATGGTGAATTACGTGATGCTACTTTCGACGGGCATTTTTATCGAGATTGTATCTCGAATTTTTCTCGTCAAAAAAAGGACTAGAAGAATCCAAGTACGATCAAGTATGACAAGTGACATTTTCACATCAAATGTCACTGATCGATGAAATTTCGACGAGATGTTCGGGATAGAAACGATCGAAGAATGTCTCGGCGGTCAGAATAACGACAGTCTCGACTGTGTTTCAATATAATATAATCAAACGCGAACGCGTTGTCCCATTACTCAGTTTCAAACAATCGATCAAAAGCTGTGGATCGTGACACTTTGGAACTCAAGTATCTCGATCCGCCTCTGTCGAATGATAAATTTCATTTTAACGGACGAGTGTCGTATAATCTCGCCGCATTAGCGAGATGTAACGAACGAACGTGAATGTCCTTCGATCGTGAGCCGAAGCGGGAGTGAAATTACCTCATCGCGTAATCAGAACAAAGGTGTTACGTCGTTCGTGATCGCGGCGATCGATCACCCTTTAATCATGCACGCGTGCATGACAAAGGGTACCACACAGGGTCGAATCGTTCCGATCGTTTCCTCCTTCTTCGACGTAGAAGCGTGACCATTGTCGCGGCGAAGAACGGCGAACGTGTTCAGGACGAACGTCCTTCGGTGTCGGCGTTCGCGGTATAGACGTCCGAAGAGGATCGTCGAACGCGACACGTCGGACCTTTTCAGACGGTGTTGTACATCGTCTCGTCCTTCTTGCTAGCCAACCACTCTCACTTTCTCCTTCTCTGTCTCTTTTCCTCTCTCCGTTCCTCCCCAAAGCGCGTTTCATTCACTCTAGCCGCCGGCCGGCTTGCTCTTTCTTTCTCTCTTTCTTCTCCGCACTTGTTCACCTCGTCTCGCAACGAACGAAGACGAAGAGTTACAGCATCCTCGCCGGTGGACGGACGGTTCGCAATAATCGCATGGACCGAACGTTTTACCCCCACCAGCCAATCGGGTGAATCCTATAAATGCTCTCCACGTTCCCCGAGACGAAGAAGTCACCTCTCTCGGGACCACCAAGCGCACCCGCGAGACATGTGTCCGTGTTGAGTGTCCGTCCCACGTCATTACCCACGGGTGACCAAAGTTTTTCGGTTCACAGAGGCCGGAAAAGACCAAAAAAAAAAAAAGTAGAAATAACTAGATCGCGACCACGGAGGATGGTAAGTAAAGTGCGACGACCGATCAAAGTGACGCTTAATGTGGGGGTTGACAAACGATCGACGACGAGATGGATTCAGAGAGGGTGGGACGTTGGCGCGATAACGGTGGATCGCGTACGATTGTGTGCGGATACGATTGGAAAGATTATATTTCGGGAAATATTCGCGTATGTAGGATCTGTGGTGAAAGTGTTCCCTTTTCGAGAAAGGTTTCGCGATGATTGTTGGTGCGTTCGAACGAAGGGTGAAATATACATAGGAAATATTCTTCGTGTGTTCGCCTAGATGCCTGTGTTCTGGAGAAATTGACGATTTTTAGCGATCCGATTTTTCTCGAACAGTTGCATTGAAGTTCTACGTATTCCTTGCACGTATCGACGAATTATTAGTTGTCCCATAGAAAGTTCGTCCTGTCTAGAGATTTCTCCTTGTGACCAAGCCATTTTTGGCAGCCAAAAAGGAATCGTTGCTCATCTCGATGAGGCAATCTTCTCTCGCAGAAAGAGAGATTTTTACTCGAAGCGAAAATGGGCCACTCGGCGTCGCGAGCGTGTTTTTCAAAGGACAATTTCCATCGTGGAGATTTTCGAATTGTTCCGCGACTTCACTTTCGTTTCTGCAAAAGACACAGCTTCCACTGAGTGGCGAGCTTACCGCTTGGTATTTACACGCACGGCCGTATCCACAGCCTCGCAAGAATTAATAGCGAGATGCAAACGTCAGACAGCTGTTAGCGCGCGAAATATCAAAGGTTATCATTGTTCCTTAACTTGAAATCCTCCTTTCTGGTGTCACCGTTTCCCAGTCGTTGGTCTCGATCATCGAACGTGGTTGATAACGTCGTCACACACGCAGAAAAAAGAATTGTTTTCGAAAGAATTACGACGCGTGACCAGGAATCTTCAGACAAAGTTTCTTGAAACAAATAAAATTTACAGCTTTAAGATTTCCAATAAAAATAGCGTAACTATTAGAAAATTTTTATTCAAAAATCGAATTTCAAAATGTTTATTCACGCGTTGTGATTCAATTCCTTAATGCTCGGAATTTTGAATAAGGGGAAAAATATTTTACGAATTAAAAAATTTCACGACGAAAGATATAAAAGATGAAAATATTAAATACGTTCGAATTGTACTTTTCTTCGAGCTGATGATTATTCAAATCGATTATAACAGTGTCACGGTGCGTTTAGGTTATCCTACCAATCACGTAATGTAGAAATTTTTAGTCGCTAAAGGTCAACGTCATTCGTTGCCGTAAAAAGAAAGAGAGAGAAAGAGAGAGAAAAAGAACGTGCCATCGAAATATTCGATTCGTGCATCACTGAAAGTTTCATCGCCTCGATGATGTAATTTCTTTCTACGGCATCCTCTTCGATTCGATGTTAAATCACGGTTTCAGGTTCGTAACTGTGTACGCAGATGTAACACGGTTGCCCAAGAATTTCAGTCAGACGGAGAGAATCCATCTTTTAATTGCCTGTTGGCGCCTTTCTTTTTGCGCGATTTTTGGGAAAAGCGAAAAGTTGAGTGGATCGTTGAAAGCGTGAAAAGTCGTGAAATAGTCGCACGTGTCGTTGAGTTAGGCATTCGTTATCCCGAGGAATGACGGATCAATTGAATTTCGCTCGTCCACTGAAAAGATTACCACCAGTACAGGTTTCTAGCTCGATGATGTCACGATGCAACGTGCCCACTCGGATCGTAGGAGTTGCTGGGATCAATCTGGGTAAAAGATCAATACACATCATGAGTTCTTCGCCTGTTACATAACCACACATTTTCCCAATTAACGCCTGCCTTACGTGGAAACGCGATTTCTCTTTACGTGGCATTTTTCTTTCTCCGCAACGCAACAAAATCGTGGAAATCTTCATCCATCGTCATTTATTAATCATCTGCAAACCGGTGGAAGATAATATTTTCTGTGAGAAAATTCTTCCAATACGGTGAACCATAACGAAGGACTGTTTTAACCAGGTTGCAACCTGTTTCACAATATCACACGATCACGACGCTTATTTCGCAATTTCAAAGTCTCTTGTGAACTTCACAAGTATAGCTTCCCGCTGTAACAGCTTGGAAACTATTTGCCGCAGATCTATAGTGAAAATATGATAGTTTGCAAAAATATGTTTACTGGACTAGCAGCGTGTAGCAACGGAGCGTAAAACTGATCGTAAAAACGTCTCTCGTGTAACACTCGAGGAGTGTTAACAGGCTAATAAACCAAGAAAGTGAATGACGTATCGGAATGCGAGGGAAGATACTAGAATTTTCAGCTTCGATATTTAGCACGTGATACGCGCATGAAACGAAATATATCCAAAGTGCAGTGGCCACTGTTATTTTTAATCGACGAGTCCACTTTCCAAATTCCATTCTTTCAACGAAACTCGCCAGATATATATATAGTTTTCATAAACAGCCGAATGATTAATATTCGCTGGATTTCCAATCGCAGATCTCTAGATCCGTAGTTCGATCGCCATTTCGAAATGGCTGTGAATTCATTCGGCGATCAATCATTCCAAGATCTGCATCGTCAAGATGGCGCATAAAACGGTCACGATTGCCACAAGGGTTACGAACAATTACGAAAATTGATTAATTATTCGTTTGGCAATCGCTCGGTTCGTTCTATGACGTTCCAAGTGATGAATTAATCGCGCCACTTGCCTCTGACAGCTGGCGTCGAACCAGCATGATTTAGTCAGAAAACGTTTCATCGGGCGTTACGTGGTCTTCCATTATTCTATACGGTTTGACAGATTTCTTGCATCCTCGGCACTCGATCTCGCGATGACCGTGGTTTATACAGTCGAGGGATCGATCGTCGACGACCAATCTGTCGAAGCTGGCATTTATAATCGATGAGGAACAAACAATGCCTCGCTGGCAACTAGTGATCTTCCGCAGGGCCGACAATTTGCTCCCAGGGAACAATTTTTTTGCACTCATTGTCCGTTTCAACTGTTTGTTTGTACTTCTTATCCGGCTGACTATTGCGTCAGTGAATCGTGGTTGCATATTCCGCTCCCACGGCTACAGAGGTTTCCAGTCCCCCTGTTTCCGCAAGTTCTCGCCCTGAATTTCAATCCCTTTGAATACTAATATCGCAAGTTTAATGCAAATGCAACTTACGATCGATGATACCCTGTACAATTGAGTTAACCAACCTGAGAGCCTGCCGTTCTGGGATAATACACTAGCTCGCGAAGGTGAGGCGCTTGAGTACTTGGATGTTTCGAAATTTTATCAGGCACACTCCAGTAGAAGATACAATTTTAATGAATGTTGGAATAATTCAAAGAATTTCCCGCTAAGACTTATTTATCATATAATAGATTTTCAGGTTTGTTTCAACGTACAGTATAAGTGAAATTTCAAAATATTTCAAAACAACATATGTGATATATATAATATATATAATATATATAATATATATAATATATATATCACTATGTTGTTTTGAAATATTTTGAAATTTCACTTGTACTATATATATATATATATATATATATATATATTCATAAAATATTTAATATTTATAAAAATATATAAATATATTTCATAAAATAATAATATTTCATAAAAATATATAAATTCATAATATATATATATATATTCATAAAAAAATTGCCACATGATGTTTAGCAATGAAAATTGAAACTTTACAACAGTTTTCGCTAGTCAGTCTACATTTATCAATTGAAACTGTACCAAAACTGTTTTCACGACGAGAGTACGTTCGATTATTTGTACGAACTACCAAATTTAAAAACAATTATTTCCAATTTTCGTGAACGAGAACACGTTCAAATACTAGGGGATAGTCGATCAGTATCACAGATGGGAGTACAGAACAGAGGCAAAGATCAATGAAAATCGGTGATCAATGAAAATGGCAATTGACATCCAGTAGTAAATAATTTTCATCTTCTTGAATGAGAGTCGTACCATCGCCCCGCCCTTGTGTACTTGGACGACACTCTCGCGTTTGAGGTTTAACGTCTTCGTGTATCCACCTGTTTATACTCCCTTCGTATGCCGTAACACAGCCTTGATGAAAAGGATGGCCGTCTAGCGTCTGAATTCCGCGCGTGCTTTTCTTCGAGCATCATCTCCGAGAGATTTCAATTAGAGGCCTCGCCAGAGGTGGCTGCTGGATTTTGCTCGGCGGGATCAATCGATCGCACGCTCGACTTATTGTTGGTCGTTAACTGTGATGATGCCGTTGATATCGGGAGTTGGTATTGTCAGAGAAATTGGTCATTAACTCGAATATAGAAATGTGAAGATGATTTATTGAAATTCTACGGCACGTGGGACTTCAACGCTGAGTAGAAATGGTAAATGACGTGAGCGTTAGAAAACGAAGATCCCCGTGTCTGCTAATTTTGACACTTGCGTCGTTTATCGCTTGCACGTTATCTTGGTATTTACCAATTTTACAGATTTAAAAGGGGAAACAGGTGGTAAGACATCATTTTCTAGCTTTCATCTTTTTCAAACACGCAGTTCAATTCACAACAATTGTCATGGTCTGTTTCTATAATATTGTAATATCTGTACAAGAAGCTTTATAGTATCTTACTATATTTCGTATGAAATTAATTATTTCCATGACATTTACATAATTTACCATTTTCTTATTGTCGCTTAATTAAAAATGAAAGAATTGCTCATCCCCCCTAAAAGTTATTCATTTTTCACTCGCTCCGAAAAAATGAAATCTTCTCCGTGTTATGTCACTTCATCGTAATTTTGTTACAAAATTTACGATTGGAAAGTTCAAGCGATAAATTATTACACGTCTGAGTATTAAATTCGTTAAGTATGAGTACATACATCGCCGGAGGGAGGATCTTCGATTTTCGTTGCAACTGTCGCGATAAAAATAAACGTTAACGCGATGTCGATAAAGATTATAATATACTCTTTGGAAATTCCTAACGGAATGTCGTGGATAACTGTGAAGGTTTTGCAACGTACATG